TACCTAGAATGAAAGAACTAAACTAGAAAATTCTTCATGAAGAATATTTGACATTAGAAAGTCTTTTAATTTAACTCCTAGATGAGTACATGATTTTTGTCCTTTCAGATTCTCATAAATGACTTGATAAAATTATCACCCACTCTTAATTAAAAAATCAAAACAGAATAAAACAAAACAAAAGCAAAAAACCCCCAAAATAGGACTAAAAGGAATCTTCTATTTGATAAAAAGTAGATACAAGGGGGTACAGAGCAGCCGGTATACTTAGTGATGAAATTTTAGAAGCAATTACGTTAAAGTTACGAAGATGATTGGGATCATGTTCTCACAACTACCAGTCATCCTTTGGTTGAGGCCCCAGCTAATGCATTAAGGAAAAGAATATATGGAGGAGGAATTTGGAAAAGAAAAAACTAGAACAACTTACTATTGGTAGACAAATTCTTTTCACTGATACAAGTTTAGCAAGATGGCTGTGAATAGACCAATGTGGAAGAATTAATTGCTAATATGTTAGAAATCAGAAAGTATGATAAAACAATAAAACTATAAAATGGCTATGAATAAGCATATGTTAGTTTTCGGGTGCTGCCTAACAAATTTCTGCGAATTAGTAGCTTAAATCTATCTACCGCTATTTATTATCTTACCATTCTGTAGGTCTGAAATCCAGGATAGAATGGCTGGGTTCTGTGCTTAATCTTAGAAGGCTCAAATCAAGGTGTTGGTTATCAGAGTCCTTCTTTGAAGGCTCTGGGGAAGAATCTGCTTCCAAACTCAGGTGGTTAGCTAAATCCAGTTTTTGTGGCTGTAGGACTGAAGTTCCCATTTCCTTACTTGAAGTCTACTCTCAGCCCCTTGAGGGTGCTAACATTGCTATCTCAGATGCTCCTTCCATCTTTCAAGTGGCAAGGACCCGTGGAGTTGTTTCTATGCTTTGAAAACCTTTGACTTACATTCTGCCTGTTTCTGTTGATGGAGAAAGTGTTTTGCTTGTTAGGGCCCATGTGATTGGGTCAGATCCACTCGAATGATCTCCTGATATTAAGGCTAACTGTGACCTATAACATAACACAGTCATAGTATTGACAGTTCATTTTATCAGCTCCAGGGATTAGAACAGGATTTATTTTGGGGGAGAGGGCACTTTGTAAATTTTGCCTGCCATAAAGTTTGAGTAGAATTTTGTAAGACCTACATGAAAAAAAGGATAAAACATCCTTGAAGGACATAGGAGAAAACCATATGTTTCACTTTGTAAATATCCTATCATTACACCCCAAGTCATCCAGTCTATCAGTTCAGTTTAATTCCAGTCAAAATCCCAATAGAGTTATTTATTAAATTAGCAAGCTGAATATCATCCTTAATGGGGAAAAATAGAGAGCTTTTTCCCTAAGGTCAGGAACATGACAAGGACGTCCACTCTCACCTCTTTTATTCAACATTGTCCTGGAAGTCCTAGCCACAGCAGTCAGACAACAGACAGAAATAAAAGACATCCAAAATTGGTAAGGAAGAAGTAAAACTTTGACCATTTGCGGATGACCTGACACTATGTATAGAAAACCCAAAAGACTCCACCAAAAAACCTGCCAGAACTGATAAACAAATTCAGTAAAGTCAGAGGTTACAAATCAGTGTACAGACATCTGTTGCATTTCTGTGCACTAATAATGAAGCAGCACAAAGAGAAATTCAGAAAACATTTTTGTTTTTATTACACCCCAAATAATAAGATACTTAGGAATAAACTTAGGAATAACCATAAAGGAGAAGGACCGGTACTCTGAAAACTATAAAACACTGATGAAAGAAATTGAAGGTGACACAAGGAAATGGAAAGATATTTCGTGCTCATGGAGTGGAAAAACAAATATTAAAATGTCTATACTACCCAAGCAATCCACACATTTAAAGCAATCCCTATCAAAATAACCAATAACATTTTTCACAGAACTAGAACAAAGAATCCTAAATTTGTATGGAACCACAAAAGACCCTGGATAGCCAAAGCAATCTTGAAGAAGCAAAGAAAAGCTGGAGGCATCACAGTCTGGACTGCAAGTTATATTACAAAGCTGTAGTTATCAAAACAGTATGGTGCTGGCATGTAGATACCTAAATCAGCGGAATAGAATAGAAAACCTGGAAAAAACCCCACAATTATATGGTCAATTTATATTCAGTAAAGCAGGAAAGAATATACAATGGAAAAAATGGTGTTGGGAAAACTGGACAGTAACATGCAAAAGAATGAAACTTGACCACTTTCTTATACCATATACAAACATAAATTGAAAATGGATTAAAAACCTAAATGTGTGGCGCCTGGGTGACTCAGTGGGTTAAGCCTCTGCCTTCAGCTCAGGTCATGATCTCGGGGTCCTGGGAACGAGCCCCGCATCGGGATCTCTGCTCAGCGGGGAGCCTGCTTCCCCTCTCTCTCTGCCTGCCTCTCTGCCTACTTGGGATCTCTGTCTGCCAAATAAATAAATAAAATCTTAAAAACAACAACAACAACAAACACCCCTAAATATGGGTCCTAAAACATACGTAGTAACCTCTTTGACATTGGCCATAGCAACTTTCTAGATATGTCTCCTGAGGCAAGGGAAACAAAAGCACAAATAAACTATTGGGACTATATCAAAATAAAAAGCTCCTGCACAGGAAAGGAAACAACCAAACTAAAAGACAACCTACAGAATGGGAGTGGATATTTGCAAATGACATACCTGATAAAGGGTTACTATCCAAAATATATAAAGAACTTACACAACTTAAAAAAAAAGCAAATCTAATTTAAAAATGGGCAGAAGACCTAAACAGACATTTCTCCAAAGAAGACATACACATGGCCAACAGACATATCAGGGGAATATAAATCATAACTACAATCAGATATCACCTCATACCTGTCAGAATGGCTAAAATCAAAAACGCAAGAAGCAACAGGTGTTGGCAAGGATGTGGAGGAGGGGGAACACTCTTGCATTGTTGGTGGAAGTGTAAACTTGTATAGCCACTGTGGAAAACAATATGAAGTTTCCCCAAAAAGTTAAAAATAGAGCTACCTTACAATCCAGCAATCATACTACTGGGTATTTACCCAATGAATCAAAAAATACTAATTCAAAGGGATATATGCACCCCTGTGTTTATTGCAGCATTACTTACAATAGCCAAACTATGGAATCAGCCCAGGTGTCCACTCAGTAGATGAATGCGTAAAGAAGAGGTGGTATATATACATAATGGAATATTTTTGGGTGATGGAGCAAAGGAAGAAGGAGAGAACGAATCTTCAAGGCAGAGAACACCTAGCCCAAATGCCAAGAAATGCAGTTGGTTAGTAGGTAGATGATAGAGCACCTACTTTTATAAGTGTCAGGAAAATGCAAATTAAAAGTTACCCTCTCCACTCTTTTTTATTCAGTCAGATGGGGAAAATTTTGCTCGAGAGAATTTGTTGGCAAAGGTATGGGGAAATGTACTTTCATTGAATAAATTGTAATGGTCTTTTTGGCAGTGCCCGTTGTAGTTTTAAGTATGCGTATCATTAGAAAGAGTAATTTTCTTTCCAGATTTTTACCCTAGCTAAACGTGTAAGTACATGAGCACAAAGAAATATTGACTGGACGTGGCATTGTTAGTATAGAATATGTCCCAAACCAAAGGTCCATCACGGAAGGTGTTTTTGTTTATGAATTTTCCACTGGATTTGGAAAAAGACACCAATTAAGTTTAACCAAGGTAATTTAGTAGAAGGAAACAAAAATACCTTTGGGATTTGTAACAAGAACGGTCTTCTCTCAGTGTGTGTCTTTATCACCTCTCATCCATTTTACAATGCATTTATAGATTTTATTTATTTATTTGACAGAGATCACAAGTAGGCAAAGAGGCAGGCAGAGGGAGAGCGGGGAAGCAGGCTCCCCACTGAGCAGAGAGCTCGATGCAGGGCTCGATCCCAGGACCCTGAGATCATGACTGAGCCGAAGGCAGAGGCTTTAACCCACTGAGCCACCCACGTGCCCCATTTTACAATGCATTTAATCAAAACATCTCCCTTATGTCACAACTCATTTCCTAAAAGCAGTGCAATACCGAGTACTCTCCATATACAAGCAAACGAATGATGGTAATTCTCTGGGGGAAAACCACAGCTGAAGGAAGCCCTACTTCATTAACGCAGTGTGTGACTTCTTGGGGACTTCTGCTCCCCTGCTGTACCTGCCTGGGTGGGGCAAGAGAAAGGAAAAGTCTGTATCAGTGGACCTCCGAAATGGATTGTTTTCAAGATTAATATGATATGTGAAGTAGTGCTTGCTGATTAAATGTTTATCTTCAGCTATGTGATAATTGGTAATTAATATATTAGATCTAATATATTAGATCCTAGAAAGCAGGGGAAATATTCTCTTTACATCTCTGCTTATGTGAAAGAGATAAAATTTCTTCACAAGGGCTTTTCAGAACATTAACTTGCGCAGCTTTAATCTGTGGGTTTATTAGTTGAGGACTGAAAATAAAAGCTTTGGCTATTGTTATTTTAATTCTGTGTATCTTCTGTGTTGTGATAGTAACCCTGTAGGTGAAAATTGCTTTTTCAAGTGAAAGAACTGTGGGATTTTAACCAACATGAGTGGTTTTTGATGAATTCATCAGATGCTCTTCATGTAAAAGATTATCTTTATTAAGATAAGAATTTTGTCCGGAAGACAATTTACAATCCCCTAAGAAAAGAAGCTTATATTAATTAAAAATCCACTACAATTTAAAAATGGTTTTTTCAAAGGAATTTCTTTAATACATTTTACTTGCAACCCTGCTTTTCTTTGTAATTGAGGCAAAACTCAAAGAGGGAACCATGGGCTAATAAAATCACTTCCATTGTGGGTGAAGCTAAGAGAAGATGAGAGCTGTGACTATGTCCCACTGAGAAAGATGAGACACCATGTTAAAAAAAATAAAACTGTGAATTATTTTTGCAGAAGTCAACAAAAGGTTCTGTTGTCCTTGACCACGTATTCCGTCACATAAACCTCGTGGAGATAGATTATTTTGGGCTGCGTTACTGTGACAGAAGCCATCAGACAGTGAGTACAATGACTTCGTATTCAATTTTTCTGGTTATAAAGTTCACTCTCTCTCTGGCCTTTGCTGATGTGGTTTTAAGTAGGTAGTTTCTTTGTAACCGAAAATGACTTTGAAAGCCTCGAACATGTTTTTCCTTGCTAAAATGTTTAGCTTTTTTCCCCCCTCTTCTGCCAAAGATCTATATAGAGTGGCAGGATTCACAACTTATGTGTGTACTCCTCTTTGCAGAAGACTTCGCTGGTTTACATTTTTACAGCCGTATCATAGAGAGTACTTTTCATGTATACTGTTAGGAGAACTAAGTAAGCCAGGTAATGTGTTAGGAGGTGAGTGGCTAGTCTTCTGAAGGGACAGATGCAACTTACTGCCTTTTAAGAAAATAAATGGTTAAAGAGAAAAAATACAGTGTGAAAACGTGCTTATCTAAGCTTTAAAAGTTGGGAGAGTAATTACAAAAGAAATAAGTAGGAGTTTTCACTCATGAGCTTGATGGAGTAAGTAATAAAGGCAACCAAACTTTTGGTGTCTGGGGTCAGTCTTCATGAAGGTCTAACATCTTCCTAGCTGGTTGATTGGTGGAAGGTTCCTTAGTGAAGAAACTCACTACAGGTTAGGGTAGATCCTATATGGTTATAAGGTTGAAAAGCTATTTCTTGGGTGGTGAACAGAGGAAAAAGACTTTGGAGGTGGTTGTTTGGGGTATGAAAGGATATTATTCAGTAGTGCCTTTTATTTTAGTCTAAGAAGGGTCTTAACCTCAGACATAGTCTTATTATGCAGAGTGCTTATATGCTTACCTTAAAAGTCCCATTTGACTTTTATTTTTCATGTTACTCAACTCCTTTTGGAAGAAAGATTTCCGCTTCTTCCTTCATCAGTTCTCCCAGCCTCCAGTGGATCATCTGGGATCTATTCAGTGAGGCACATGATTGTCTGAGTGGGCTTTTTCTGTCCGGTCACAGGAATGTGCTAGGATGAGAAGAGACAGACAACTGGAATGCTATTGATGGTGTTAACTTGTGATTTTTCCTGAGCTAGTTTCATAATCCATTTTGTTTCACAGGAGGATTTCACAAAGCAGGAATAAAAAATTGGGTGTGTTGGTTAGCTTTCCCTAGAAAGGAGTAGCTTTCTAAAGGCAAACGGTCATTAAGGCACACTTCAAAGAAAGGGAAATGGACATCTTCAGGGGTTCCCTATATGGGCCATAAGTGAATACTGCAGAACTGTAAATCTACATTGAAAGATTAAATTGAAGGCTCTAGAAGCTATCTTGCATTACATTCATATTTTGAAGGAACATTTTTCTTAGTAGAGAAAATTACTGTTTCCTGGTCTTATCTAGTATGTCAGACTTCGCCTGGAAAGATTGACTGTCTTGCTAAAATTGTATAGACCTTATCTCTCTCTCTCTCTCTTTTTTTTTTTGAAATTTTGCAAAGGAAGAAAATATATGAAAAGTCAGACAGTCTCAACTGAGCCACCCAGGCACCCTGCCAGAGAATTTCAAACAATGGCCTGTATCATTACAAAAAGAATTAGCAGTTGGTATTGATTCAGAGTTTTCTAGGGCTTATATTAAAACCAAAAAAATTTTTTTCTCTTAACCTTATTCTTAAGGGTCTGCATTTGTGGTGTGTTTGCAATGAAGGTTTTGGAAGTAACCACATTACAGTTAGAAGGAGAAACCTCTTAAGTCATGTTTTTTTTTTTTTTTTTTTGATACTGTAAGAACACCAGGTATGTAAATCACATGAAAAAAACATCTTTTTGCCCCATCAATTTAGTTATTTCTAGTGAATGAAGATAAAATAGAGGTGATTAATAAACATTCCTTAGTCTTTTCATGCTCAAGTGTATGGTCGGATTGTCTTACATGTATTTTTAATTGTAGGAAACTATAATGAGGTTATGAAAATTTGCCCCTCTTTTAGATAATCGTTTCATCAAAGTATACTGGAGGGCTGATAGTGTTTCTAGGTAGAAAATGTGATTCCATTACTGATTTGCTTCTCTTGGGTATTGAGACAGAACAAAGGATTTCTCTTGGGGCAGTAGCTCTGGCAGGTTCTTCATTCCAGGCACCCATCCAAGGCTCAACTTTATTTCTAGGGAAATTGTTGATGAACCCAAATTCCTATTTCTGTGTCTTCTATCTGTGTTAGTAGGAACAGGTTACATAGACCTTACTTACTTAAGGCAAACATTTAAAGAATAACTCTACGTTAGAATGGCACAGGACACAAAAAATGGAAAAAATTTTGTCTTTAATGATTTCTAGGAATTTACCTGAATTATAATCCATTAGATTGGATTTTGTGTATTGCTTTGCTTTTTCTGCATCAAAATATTTACTTTTTTCCCCCCCAAATATTTACTTTTAAGAGGGAATGCTTTGTAACAATCTTTAAAATAAGTAAGATCCACATGGAAAAGATTTTGAGGCCCTAAGAGGGACCTCTTAGGTCAACTCTTGAGGCAAATAAAGAAAGAAAATGGGAGAAGGACCTGGGGGTAAAAGGGAAGAAAGATGAAGATTAAGAAGAGGTGACTCACATACCTCAGTGAGGAGCCCTAGACTCCCTCCCTCCCTCCCCTTGACAGAGGATCATGCCTTGGGGCCATGCCTAAACTGGGTGGGGGTGGACTGGGAGAGCGTGTCCCTGGGGACGCATGGACCTCACATAGCAGGGAACTTGTCTGTCCTGGAGGAGCAGGGTAACCCAGAGGCTGGATCTAGACATGTCGTCATCACCACCATCCATCACCATCCTTGTCATTAGTGCACGGGAAACTGTGGAACATTTTCCATATGTTGTCATTACATGCTCAAAACAGCTGTGCAAGCTCAATATTATTATCCTACCATCAGAGATGAAGAAACAACACTGAAAAGGTTAAGCCACTTCCCAAGCTCCTGTAGCCATCAAGTATTAGATCAGAATTCAAACCCAAGTCTTCACATCTCCAAGACTGTCAACTACTATAATATCCTGACTTGAATGCATGTAAGATGGAACGGTTGTGCAGACTGAGGATACTGAGGAATTCTCTTTCTGTGCAATTTACATACTTAAGGTTTGAAGAGAGGAGTTAAATAGTATTTTCCAACAAACAGACTTCTCAGATTGACCTGGGGCAAGAGAGTTTATTTAGGCCTTTGTGTATTTATGCCTTCATGTGGTTTTTCAGTAACAACACAAAGAAGACCTAATATGGGCAGGCCCTGTGCTAGAGCTTTCTCTGTTTTTCACATAGTCTCAGGAATTCTGGGGAAAGGGAATTTGCTGCGGGGAATATTAAACATGCAAGTTCTATCAAACTATATTTCATAAAACCAAGTCCTGGGAAATTCCTGCAACAAATGCATTGAGTTAGGTGTTACCTATGTGTACAGAGTAACAGCTAGGCAGAACTAAACCTTGGTAAAGCAAACTGCTCTCCAAAGAGTGCAGCTGATTCGATTTGGAACGCTCTGGGCACCATAATTGCTTCACTTTTCAGGTAAGGTTTGTAAAAGGACCTCTAGGAAGTAAAAACATTCCTTCCTGAAGACATGCTTACTGAGACTGAATTAACCCAATGCTGCCTGTGTTAATTTAGGCTTAATTGTAGAAAACAGGCCCTTAAAGATGCACAGTGGGATTCACATACTTGGGGTTCCTTTTCCTAAAGACACAGGGAAGAGCACTTAGCCTGGGCATACAACCTACTTTCTGCTCTGCTTTGCCCTGTGTCATCCAACTTCTTTCTTGATCCAGGCTGGTCTGTGCAGGGATATAGCTCTTCCCTCCCCCCGCCCAGGGCCTTGGTTCAATTGAACAGAAAATTCCCAGCCTCGGTTTAAGGTAGATGAGAGGGATTACAAGAACACACATGAGAGTCAGAAAAACCCAGATTTATTGAAGGACCCTACCACTTACTAGTTATAAATATTTAAAATTCTCTTAAGTACTCACCATTGATCTAGAACTGCAGAACTTCCAAAGAAGTTAGGTCTCTCTAGTATGTTCTAGGAGTGCCTGTCATTGATTTCATGGCTAGCTCACCTTCTCATTCTCTGCATGTGGTGTCTGGCTCAGCAGCTCACATTGGTGTGTCTTTGCTTTGAATGGGTTCCCAGCCTTCTCTTGGCTTAGCATCCTAATCCCCAGGACCTGTGAACGTCACCTTACATGGCAGAAGGGACTTGGCAGGCGTGATTAAGTTAAGGATCTTGTATAGAGGGATCATCCTAAATTATTGAAGCAGAGTCAATGTAATTAGAAGTCTCCTTATACATGACCGAGTAAGGCAGGAGAATCAGAGAGAAGGAAATGTAACAGTGGAGGCAGAGGTCAAAATCATGTGATTTCTGGAGGGGGGCCTTGATCTAGAGGATGAAGGCAGCCTCTAGAAGCCAGAAGAGAAAAGGAAGTAGATTGTGCCCTGGAGCTTCTAGAAGAAATACAGCCCAGTGTCTTAGTTTGGGCTGCTCTAACACCCATAGACTGGGTGGCATGAACAAGAAAGATTGATTTATCATACTTCGGAGGCTGGAGACCTGAGATTAGAGTGCCCGCACGATTGGGTGAGAGCCCTCTTCCAGGCTGTGGACAATCCAATTCTCCTTGTAATGTCACATGGCAGAAAGGGAGGGAGTTAGCTCTATGATCTCTTCTTGTTAGGGCATTAATCTCATTCACAAAGAACACTACCCTTGTGACGCAATTACCTCTCAAAAGCCACACCTCCAAATTCCAACATACTAGGTATTTGGATTAGGATTAGGGTTTCAACATATGAATTTGGTGGGGAAGAGCACAAACATTCAGTCTGTTGTACCCAGTGAGACCATCTTGGACATCTGACCTTCAGAATTGTAAGATGATAAATTTCTATTGTTTTAGGCCCAGATTATGGTAATTTGTTACAGTTGCAAAAAGAAACTAATACACATGGTTACAGTGGGAAGCATTTTATTTTTGCTTGCTTAGTGGAAATATAAGGGCTTTCTTGT